TGTGAAGACGGTGAGGAAGAGGAGGACGTGGAGTTACCTTTGTTTTAAAGGCTGTCGTGTAGTTCGGTCGTGGGGCTTCCGCGGCGGAGCAAAGTGTATGGAAATGTGGATGGCGGATCTGGTTGATGAAGACAGTTAGGGTTTATAAAGGAAGCGGTGATTTTGGGCCAGTTTCCCATGGGCTTCTGTCTGCAATCCTAAAGCATGTTCGGGCTGGGCTCAATACCATTCCATTACTATCAAAACGTAAGAAAACGTGGCCTCGGTTTTAGTAAGCGTTTAAGGCTGAAGCCACTTGGGTTAAAATATATGCAATGTATCAGCATGGACTAACAAATTTTAATGGGCCCGAAATGTTTGCGGTTATTGAGAGTTAACAAACTATTTGGTCCACTATTCAGCCGACAATATTTCTTGAACTAGAGCAAACTGTTTATACAATCCGGAAAAACTAATTCTCAAAAACAGAGACGGATTGATTTATCTACTATTTGGATTGACATAGTTGCATCAGGGTATTGCTCTAAGCCTAGCAAAATGGGCCGTATTTGAGGCATGCCATTGACCTCTGTGGATTGACATGCTTGCATCAGGGTATTAGTGCAATCCTACAAAACACACATAGTTTTTATTAGTAACATTTGCAGGAAGAAGTATCGAATAACTTGTTTAATCTAACGAACTCACCTGATATATGGTTCAGGTGTTCATAATATCAGCAAAGGCTTCAGTGAAGACTATGTTCCTTGTATAATCGTAAGGTATTTCTGCTGGGTTTTGTATAAGAAACCTCAAACCTTTCGCTGATTTTACTCTCGAAACCCCCACATATAGCTGCCCGTGGCTGAATACGGGTTCGGGCAAATAAATTCCAACCTTTTCAAGTGTTTGCCCTTGGCTCTTGTTTATACTCATTGCGTAACATAACCGTACTGGGAACTGCCTCCTTCTGAGCATGAAGGGCCACTTGGAGTTCTCTATATTGAGCACTATTCTTGGTATAATGACCTCGTCGTAGTCATAAGAACCGCCCATAATGTTACCTTTTATGAAATTATCCCCTAATGTTGTGATCATGATCCTTGTGCCGTTGCACAAACCAAGGGCAGGGTTTAAGTTACGGAGGAGCATGACTGGTGTGCATACCTTTAACATAAGCTCGTGGTCTGGAACTCCATTGAACGTGAGAGTATTAAGGAACTCTGTCGGATAGCTTTCGTCAAACGAATATGCTGTTTCTGTTGATGACTGTAGCGAATCTGAACTATAATATGTTTTTATGTTACCTGGTACCCTTTGGAGCATATAGTCATTGATTCTAGAGACTGTCGTATTCGTTGGCGTCACTATTGCTCTGCTGGTCAGGTACGCTGGATCCTTGTAATTGTCAGGAAACGAATCATATATATCATCTGCGATTGATTTAACAGTGTCATCCCTGGGATCAATTAGGAACAATGATGGTATTTGTATCCAATCTGATGGGCCATCTTCTCTAAACGATCTTGCTCTAAGCTTCCCATCTCCTAAGGCAAGGAACCATTCTGGAAACGTGTATCCATGCATTAGCTGCTGGTCAGCAGAGTGGACAGCTGTTATGCGCATGTTTGTCGATAGGCACATCACTTTAAAAGTATTCCATAGCTTGGACCTAGTTAATGAGCCATCAATCGTTTGTTCACGTCCAGCATCAGTCATAACTGGGAATGTTTGGCAAAAATCTCCACCAAAGAGAATTGTCTTTCCTCCAAATGGTTTATAGTGATGTCCATTCAGTGGAACATTCAATATGTCGCACAAACTGCGATCTACTGCCTCGAAAGCCTGCCGATGGGTCATTGGTGCTTCGTCCCAAATGATTAAGGATGCTTCTTTTAACAGATCAGCTAAGTCTGTTCCGTGTTTAATAGGGCATGTCGATGTTGCATCTAGGACCAGTGGAATTTTGAATCTTGAATGTGCAGTGGTCGCTTTGGGAAGTACTGTTGCTGCTATTCTTGATGATGCAACCAGTACAACTATCTTTCCCAAACTCCTGAGCCTTGCTGTAATGACATTATAAAGGTACGTTTTGCCAGTGCCTCCGTGACCATACAGGAAGAATGCCTGACCCATCTTGTTGAGGACTGAACTGATGACAGATGTATATACATTAGTTTGCTCAGGATTCAATGAATGAAGCATAGAGGTTGCTAGTTCATGCTGCTGGTTAGTATCAAAAGCCAGATGCTCGTTAATGAGTGGATTCTCTCCATCTTCATGTGGACCATCAGTTGGGGTTGGGATATTGAAGTCTGCAAGCGTCATTGAATGAGAACTCAACATAGCCTGCAATTCACGGAGTACCCAGTTTTGTAGTCGTTCATCACTCGGCTTCTGAGTTTGACCTCCGAGATTTTTCGTTAGCCTATACGCATAATCTTCAGCCATTGATTTCCATGACGAATTGAATAAAGCTATAGGACTTGGAACTTCGCAAAACATGAGCATTGACACGAAAGTGCTCCGTATCACTCGTGGCATGCTGGAAGTAGAAATATCAGACAGAACACGTATCCATTCTGAAGTATCTGATAATAGACCCAACTTTTCACAAGCTTTTTCAAAATCTGGACAAAGTTCTCCATTGACAGTTCTGAGATGAGCATAACTGAGAGCGCCACGGACTTTTGTCAGCATCATTCGGAGGAAAAATACATCGCCAGAACCTGGTGGAACATATGCAACCCTCCCTATCGCAAATCCCTTTTTGCGAGGGTTCCATTCTTTACAATCAGGAAGCCAAGTGTAATTATTTGGTATCTGTGCATATGTCAAGACTCTTGCTTGAGAATCCCTGCGATTAAGAGCAAACCATTCTGTCAAGTGTGTCTTTCCGAAATTAGGATTCCCCAAAACATTTCGCACATTGGACTGTTTCTTATAAGGTACTTTTTGCTGTCCATCCAAATGAACTCCCAAACGCACCACTGATGGTTCTCTTACATGAATTGGATACTCATTAAGTCTCCATATGGCTTCATAAGCAGACAGCGATCGGCAGTCTATGTACTGTTGGATTTCATCTCTGTGCCTCCCAGACTGCATTTCAGGATTATTTTGTGATGCATCAGCGTTTTCAGCAATTACCAATGATCTGTCTGGTCCTTTTTCACATATTTAAAGAGATACTTGATGAGTTTACCTTTGTGACATACCTCGACATTTATATGAGCCCACATTCTGACCAGCAAATTCCTGTTGTATGGAACAACATGTCGATTGTCAAGTGTCATACTTCCCTTCTGTACCTCGACGCCAGTGTTTGATCTTCTATAGACTACATTTCCAAACTTGTCAAATGTTGTGGCTGAGTTGAAATCTTTTGGGAATTGTTTGGAACATTTACCATTCGCGCGTTTTTTCTTGTCTCGCATGCACGGTGCATTGGAATTTGCTTCACCACATGGGCCATGTAGCATGAATTTACAGACTGCTTCGTATCCAACCGGATCTTGTTGAGGGTCTGGAATTTCAGCTGAGATTACCTCGTCGATATCTTCTGTCGTCCTCAATTTGTTCTCTTCGGACAACCAGACCAGCAGATGTATATGGGGCAAACCCTTTTTCTGAAACTCCACTGTATACATAACTGTCACAGAGTAAACAAAGCGAGAATTACAAATATCCAAACATATGTTTTGGAAAGCACCAAATTTGCGGATCTTGAATATTGATATAAAATGTATAACCTATACTTATCTCCGTCAAGATCACCCCGTGCCATCGCATCCTGTAGTCCTTGATAAACCTCGGCTCTGAGCTGTGGCTGATGATAGCGCAAAAAAGCTAGCCTGTTTAGCTCAATCGATGAGTAGGCGTCAATACAAAAATGCTGAAGAGCTTTTCCAGCCTGAACAATTGTGTGACCTTCGCCATTTCGATATTGAAGTATGAATGCATAATACTTGCGCTGAGTAACAAACTGCCTCCGCATAGAAGGCGGGCAGAAAGCTGACCTGTATTTGATGAGTGGATGGTAACCATCCTCTCCATACGGAAATAGAAGTGGGAAATGTAACGCATCAAATTTTGGATTGAGGCTCGTAATTCTCTTCAAACCCTCATAGACATGATCAACTATTATATCGCGATCATCTCTTTCTGGCACGAAATCACCTGGTATAAGCGCTGCAACTTCAGTGCTGCTAGGCAAATCATATTGCCAATTCCTGCTCTTGGCTCCAAATATTCGTAACTTTAAATTCGTTGTCGAAGAGTCCTAAAGTTGCTGCCGAACTCGCCTGAACGTTTTGACGAGCTGATTATGTTGATCCAGCATTTGGAGCAATGAAGTGAGCAGCTTTGGCATAAGTAGACCATCACGGGATGCAAAGTTCGCCAAGCGATTGTCGATTTCATTCTTCGGTTCAAAAATGTAAAGCTGGGCAAACTTTGGTTTTTCACCATCAGGAGGCAACAATGAACCAATCCTATGATAATTTTCTCCACATATGACCGTCGAATACGGCCCCCTACCAGAAAGGGAGCGAGGGTCAATAGAAGCACCGAATGAAGTAAAACACAATGAACCGTTATATGGTCTGATTTTATCTCTGAAATGCTTAGACATAGCGCCACCATCAAACTGCAGAAGCTCAGCCAGCAACCGCGGAGGTTGGGCTATATATGGCAAACCAACACGACCTTTCTGACAGCAAAGTCCATTGATAGGATCAGTTGTTGCTCGGCGGCGATCAAGCCTCTCCAAATCCCAAAACAAAGCACCACAGAACTTGCAGACACATTTTGGTTGACCTATGTTCAAAATATCATCATGGAGTGGCTTTCTAGCCATGGGAATAGACCTAGAACAGGATGGGGTTCCAGTTGAGTTCTGCGGCCGGCGACTACCAGTTTTCCGCTGTTCAGCTCGGTGCACTTGATTGCTATTCTCGCTACACTCATCTACCATATTGGATTCCCCCTGTTCCAGGAAAGAAATATGGCTCGTTGGATTCTTAGAGGCCAACTGTTTCAAAGTCTGGTAGCGCGATTTCCTTGGTCTTGAAGATTCTGATAAGTGCAATGCACACAAAAGAGAACTTTACAATAAAGCTTTTATATCATCAAAAATTGATATTGCTTGATGGCTTCATGAGAATCTTATAATTCAAATAACAATGGTATGATGGCAGTCCGTTCATCACCTGATGATGATGGCAGGACTCGATGAAGAGACCGTGATGATTCCTGTATATCATTCTCAGGCACAGTCTCAGGAACCATTGAACCCTGCGATGGATGTCCCATAATTTCAATTCTCGCTCTTTTACGTGCCAGAGTTTGATACTGAGTCTTTTTTTTCTTGGGAGGCATCGCTGCACAAGGGAAAAAAAATATTCAAACATGGCCAGAATCATTCTTGTTGGGATGAGCGAGGCAGAGTTAAAGGAAGATCACAGGAATCATCCTCACTCATTCATCAGACTCATCAATGAGAATGTCAGATAAAAACGCAGGTTACCTTTGTTCTATTTAGCCCATCAAACAAAGGATATTAATGAACAAATGACAGATGAAGTATGATGAAGTAAAGGTAGTTCCTGGAGAAAGTGACACAATCCATTGGGGAAGAAGATGTATACTAATATATGAAATTGTTATCATAGATATGTGAGCCATGTATGATCCTTATAATATCATTATAGTTTGAAAAGATCTAACATGCTGTTGGATTAATAAAATGATGGAAAGCTATCAACTTAGTTTAATCATTCGCACAAAAAGAGGCTGCGTTATACTAATAAATAAGAAATATCAAGAGTTCTAAGAAAGATAAGAAAGCTATACTCATAATATTGATCATATTATAAACCGAAACAAACGTTTCGTTCGTCTGAAATATGCGTAGTTAGTTCAAACTTATACAAAGCGTTAGCAAATTGCAGTTCAACAGTTCTGAATACAGTCCATAGGCTCTGCAAAACTGACAGTGCCTCTATCTGAACTGCTCAGGAAACATTGACATAAACTCCCCTTCCTCCTTCCGTCAACGGTGAACGCATTCCAAGGGAAGAATGACCAGATATGCCACGGATAACAGAAACACGACCTTGCTCATATCAGCACTAAACAACATTAAATGAAGGCAATCACTGCTAGGCAGCAGCCTTATGAAAATCAAAATGCACTCAGGTACCATGTAAACATCAGCAACATATGAGCTAACACTAACTGATTACGTGCTGGTCACCCAACAAAAGATAGAAGGCTATATAAACCGAGTGCACAGGAGCAGTGTATCTCCTGGTAATATTCACACTGATGCAACTATTACATTCTTGGAACCCAAGATACAAAATGAGAATATCAATGCAACCACAAGCATTGCATTCTCGAAACCAAGATATCCATAATATGATTGTCTAAACAAAGAGAATAACTTCCGCAAACTAAACAAAATATGTCATCTCCTTGAAAGTCAGTAATCAGCATTTCTGGGTACGTCATCAACCACGCGGAGAAGACTCGGACCCATGAATGAAAATTTCAGGCCAAACATATCTACTTCCTGCAATGAAATAAACAGCAAGAAAATGAGACACATAATGAAACATGCCAGAAAATCAAGACAAACAAAGAAAATTATGAAAGGCCTTGCGCTATTATCACCTCTTGAACAGAGGACGTTTTGCAGCTGGGTTCTTCTGAATGTCAACTGGGGAATCCTCTTCCATCTCAGCACCTGCCTGTGAGCCACCGCCGTGTGGCAGAGGAGGAGTCTCAGCATCGCCCAACTTCTCCACCTTTATCTTGGCGAGTGGAGAAGCCAACCTTGAACCAAACACATCTTTCAGGAATGAATATCGTGAGAAGAACATAAAAACTTTTAGAAATACTTAACTAACTTGTGAACACCTACAATGACGCAGGCGAAGAGCCAGAGGCTAAACCAGAGGTCTTCCCAGGAGATGACTCAGGGGATGGCTTCAGAATCTTTGCAGCAGGTATCAACGGACCACGACTAACATCCTCAAGGCTGGCAGACTCATCGATTCCAGTTGTGCGCTTAGCAATCGGCGGAAAAGCAGACCTGCCAGGTGGTGTAGAGGACTGGGCCATAGAAGGAACGGGTACATGCGCAACTGCTGGGCTAGAGCCAGCCTGTACACTAATCCCCGAAGGATGAGATCCCCCGAGACTCCTGGGGCCGACAACAATACCCTTGCTTTCGAGACTTGCATGAGAAGGAATATGTAAATCCTCGGCTATCGGACTGGGGAAAAAAATGGCAAATAACTTAGGACACATGCTCTAACAAATTCCATTAATGACCAAAATAAGTATCGCTAGAAATCTGAATACCTGTCAGCCTCATATGGCCCTTCAGTGATGCTAAACGGAGCTGCTGAAACCTCAGTGAGTAAAGGACCTGAAACCTTTTCCTTTCCCTTGGCAACCCTTCAGAACATAAACAGACAGTCCATAAGGCATAGCTGACGAACCAGAGAACATAAACAGCAAAACAAAACAACCAACGCCAACCTAGATGAACCCGAAGAACCACCCGCGACACTTGCTGCACCCATGGTCAAAGTCGGAACAGCAGTAACAGAACCACGTAATGGGGATGGCGAAGAAAACTTGAGAAAATCGCCAACCACCGTAGGATCATCAAGCGGGACAACCTGAGTTACACGAAACTCACCCGAAGAGAAGCCAGTAGGACCAGGAAATGGTAACTTACAATCAAACTTGACATACTGTCCTCGCAATTGATGCAACTGCGGCGGCAACTGACCAGGACGATGAGGAAATCGCTGGGCCAAATGTGCAGCAGAAACGTTAACCAACGAATGGGCACAGCCACCCATCAAAATGAACCGGGCCTCGCAAAAGTCATCCCTCAAAGTAAGTTGGAGCTTATAACTGAGTAAAAAAAGACGTCAGCAAAGAAACCTGAAACAACCAAGATATCCACGCAAATAATAAGCAGACATACTTGACCCGAGTCTGCTCCTCTTCTAGCTGCCAGTCTTTTGGACACCAAAACGTATTGTCTCGGCGCTTTGAAACTGCTCGCAAACATAGCTTGCACGAAATGTAATACCAAGGAGCACCAGACTCGATATCAACGATCACTCCACCACAACGATACTTCTCTTCCTAGCAAAGCAAAGGAAACTCATTCATTCTCAAGGATGAAAAAGACGAACATTAAACTTTCCAAAAAGAATAGCAACAAACCAGAGAGGAACTCGTTCGAGACAAGCTCAGCAACTGGTCCAGAGTCTTGGTACGCCGGTCTGCATCAGCAGCATCAGCAACAGAGGCAAATTCCACTGGCAAGGACTCAACAACTTTATGCTTTTCAGCAAACCTAAAACAAACATAAGCAGCATAAACTTAACTATATTGTTACTTCTGCCTAAAACGAACACCCAAACAGACCACGCAAAATCAGCGATGTCCATAACCCACTCACCTAGATGCAAGATAGTAAGCCTTTGGTACAGGAGGATTGACTGCTATACGTGTACCAGCGAAACTCGAGAGAATATAATCATCTGAAACAGAAAACAGAAGAAATAGTAAAATCAGCAGGCATCAACATTCCTTGAATAATCCCGATAAATATACATGCACTCCAGGGAAATAAACGCACCTCCCAACTTATTAACAAGCAAACCACCGAAAGCGAGAATCACAGCCTCAATTGAGTCAGCCTGAGTAAGTGCAACATGGTCCAGCACCGCAGAAAACTCATCCCAGAGTGTAATAGTAATCTTGGCTCCACTGTGAAGAAGAAAACACGGGAATACATGAGAAACAACACAGAAGAAACGAAAACCATACAGATAAACGCAAGAACCGCCGAAAAGCGAGAGAACCTTTCATCCTCGATAATAACCGTCTGCTTGACTGCAGGACCATTATTAGTGATTTTATGCGATATCCCACTGATCGAATGGAGTCGACCAACGACATCTACGAAAACAAAATGAAGTCAAAAGACCAAAACACAGTAAAAAACCATTCACATATATAGAAACACATGCATATCAATAAGGAGGCAACACAAAAATACCCACTAACCTGTCAAGAAACGGTGATTACCAGCACGCGAACTCAACTGGGAGAAAGACACAAACTCATACGCATCAACGGGAAAACTCTCAGCAGGAAGATTACAGGCCTAAAAGGAAGTCGAGGGCGAGAGACCCAAAGCCAAATCAAAGGAACATGGGCGATACTGATTCGGCGGGTTGCTCAAACCAAAGGACTTTACAACATAAATCTTCCCAACATAAAGGTTACGACGAATCCCAGCAGCCATTGAAGTCGGCGAAACACCGTGAATCAGCGTCCCCTGCACAGAACACACCACGATGATTGAGAAACAAATAACACAGCGGCAACGACAGAACCAAAAATGAAAATATCACTACATAGGAGCAGAGAACGTACCGTTTCATCGGTGCAAAGAGTGCAGTAATTGTAAATCCTAATATCTCCCGGAGACTTCGCCGGCCACACATGCAGCAACCGAAGACGTAAAGAAACGTTAGCATTGCGAGGGCCACCGAGGTTGCAAAGCAACGTGAACTCCATATTCTCCGAGACGAAGAGAGCCGAAAAGAACAGAAACAACGTTAAGAAAGAGAGAAGAATGACGGAGAGAGACCAGAGCGAAATGATGAACTGCTGCCACTAAACTAAAAAATAAGCATATAAATCAGAGGAAGGATTAGAAGGGTTAAGGGCAGCTGGTGTCAGTTATCGGTCCAATAAAAACGTAAAGAAAACGAAACAGTGGTCTGCCGAAGAGATAAGCATGACGTCAAATAGAGAAACCGCCACTGAGGGAGTACACAAAGAAGAGGGGAAAAAATCCAGCACGCAAAACCGGCGGGTTTCAGATATCTAGGCAGTCCTAGACAGGTTTGCTCTCCACAAAGGGCCATCATTACCACCAATGGCGAAAACCAAACATCAACACGCAAGGCGAGAGAGCGGAAACAACAAATGCAATGATTATGAGAAAGACCAGCGTGGAAGAGCCGAGAAGCACAATAAAAAAAACGAAGAGGGAATTAGGGCGCAGCTGAGAGCAACGCGCATCTCAGAGAGACCACGCAGCCAAAGCCGCAACCAATTACGGAATACCAAGCGGGCCCAACTGCAGACCAACGACCAATCAAATTGAGGTGAACAGTAATTTTGAGTCTAAATGAATAGTAATTCCGTGTCTAGGCGAACAGTGTATCATGTCTTTGCAAATAACTTTTTTCAATATGGTAAAGTATTTCTCACAGCTGTTCTACATTTACCTAATTCAAGTACAATAGTTGTGACTTGTTGCGATTTGGTTTAATTTGGACACGATACTCAAGCCCCGTTCACTTTCAATTTCGTTTTGTATTTGTTGTAGTCTGAACAAAATTTTGGAAACGAAAATAAGAAAACGTGTTCACCAAGTTTTCTTCTTTTCAATGGTGACTTCCCAACGAGCAATTTTACGACGACCGGTTGGTTCTCTCAATCCCAGGTTGCAGGGTGCTTGCTACCATCCCACGTGGCATCCAAGCATTGGGTTTTATCATTCAATAAGTTTTTTAAAAAATGTAATTTTTTTACACCCATCGGATATAGAGATCCGGTAAATGAATCCGGTTACTTTCGGTCCACCATTTTTTGATGCCCACACATCTACTTCATTGACAATTAGCTAGTCGTCATCCCGTTAACATCACAAAGCTCCAATTATTCAACATCCACAGGAATAGAGATCCGAAAAATGTTGAGAGTGTTTATTATTATGTTGAACTCTTTGGGTACCTTTTTTTACTTTGCCTTTCTTACCCTAGGAACTCTGTAGCGGGGTATATATATTGGCGTGAGTCTCTTATGAGCAGCCATACACTTCTGCGGCGCATATACTGCAGAACCTAATAAAGCTTGAGATCGTTCTCCGTGGAGTAAGGCCATTCATACCGAATGGCAAGAACCACGTAAATCGTCGTGTTGTGTGATTGTTTTGCTTCTGCGTTCATGCTATTTTACATGGTATCAGAGCTGGCTTTGCTCTAGGAATCCTTTTAAGTTTCTGTTATGGGGAAGGACGAGGAGAAGGAGAAGGCTGCAATGTCTTCCGGCACTGCTGTCGGTGCGGAGACGATCCCGCTGAACTCACCATTGTTTCTTCATCCTTCTGAAAACCCTGCCCAATTGTTTGGGAGTGACCTGCTCACGGATTCTAATTACGGTGAATGGGTCAATGACATGACCGAGGTTCTTATCGCTAAGAACAAGATGGCATTCGTCGACGGGACGTTAACCAAGTCGGATGCCGGAAACAAAGAGAGAACCGATGCTTGGGCATGCTGTGATGCCACCGTGAAGGGTTGGCTTAAGACAACGATGACAAAAGAAGTCAGAAACAGTGTTCGATCGGCTCTTACTGCAAGGGAAATATGGTCTGATCTTGAGCGGCGATTTGGAAAAGGTGCCACGCCGCGTGCGTACGAGATTCGACGTTTGCTCAATGGAACTCGCCAAGACAAGCTGACTGTCTCGGCGTTCTACACGCGACTTCGCACTTACTGGGACGAGATGCAAGTTGTGAGTCCAGAACCTCGTTGCAAGTGTGATGGTTGTACTTGTGGAGGCTGCAGGTGTGACTTGCCACGACAGCAGCGCGAAAAGGCCGAGACTGAGCGCCTCTTCGAATTTCTTATGGGGCTGGATGATGCTTTCTCCGTCGTCCGTACGCAAGTGTTGAGCATGAAGCCCACTCCGTCGCTAGCAGATGCGTATCAGGCCATCTCAACTGAAGAACAGCAGCGCAATATAACTGCAGGACGTCGACCTACTGTGGAGGCAGCGGCGTTCCTGACGAGTGGCGATCAAACTCGTTCTGAGCGTGATCAAGTGGACAAGCCTAAGTGTACCCACTGTCATAGGCTGGGACACACGGTGGACACATGTTACAAGTTGCATGGGTATCCACCGGACTTACCTAAGACTCAACAAGGTGATCGCTCGAACAAGCAGAATCGACAGCGCAATGAAGGCCCTCGAGCTGCTCATGTCGAGCCAGAAGGGAGTCCATTTCCGGGTCTTTCAGCGGCACAATTTGATCAGTTGAAACAGATGTTAGCAGATTCGGCAAAGTCATCATCACCGAACACTCCAGAAGCGAACATGGCTGGTAACTTCTCTGATTTTTCTGATTGGTTGATTGACTCGGGATGTAATGAACACATCGTACGAGATAGTAGTTGGTTAGATGAGCTAGATGCCTCAACTATTTTTGCTCCGGTACGAATCCCAAACGGTGAAAGTGTCCCTGTGCACGGGATGGGTTTGGTCAGGTTAACTGAGAAGCTTACTCTTCGTCGTGTCTTACATGTGCCTGAATTCAAGTGTAACCTCTTATCCGTCAGCCGGTTGTGTAGGGACAATAATGTTGCACTGACATTCATGGCTGATTTCTGCATTCTCCAGGCCTTACCCTCCATGACCGTGATTGGGATTGGTGAGTCTCGGGATGGCTTATATTATTTGCGTCGGGATCAAGGTGACTTGAGTCGTGCAGTTCGCTCCACAGCAGGGAGTGCGGCGGCTAGAAGACTGGAGCCCTCGGATCTTTGGCATGCTCGCCTAGGTCACCCCTCGGCATCCAAGTTTAATTTGCTCAGAAGTTCAATTAGTTGTAGGGATATTGTTCAGTCCGTGCAACATTGCGACTCTTGTTTACGTGCTAAACAGTCTCGCACACCTTTCACTTTGAGCTCGATTAAGACGAAAGATTGTTTCGAGCTTATACATTTGGATATTTTGGGTGGTTATCGTACCCCTGCCCTTGATGGTTCATGTTTCTTCCTGACTATTGTTGATGATTACAGTCGCACTACCTGGGTTTATTTGATGAAGTATAAGTCAGATGTAGAGCGTTATCTTAAAATGTTTTATCAGATGGTTCTCACCCAATTTCGCAAGCGGGTTCGCAGGATTCAGGCAGATAATGGGTTAGAGTTCGCTACCCATTCGCTGCGAGACTTCTATGTGGAACATGGGATTATTTTACAAACCACTTGCACTGACACTCTGCAGCAAAACGGGGTTGTAGAGCGCAAGCATCGACATCTCCTAGACATGGCACGCGCTCTACGGTTTCATAGTGGCCTTCCTACCCGTTTCTGGGGAGAGTGCGTGCTGACAGCTACTTATCTCATTAACCGGTTGCCTTCTGTTGTTCTTAGTAACAAGACACCTTATGCAGTTCTCCTGAACAACACTCCCTCCTATGCTCACCTGCGGAACTTTGGTTGTCTCGTTTATGCTAAGGACACCCATCACGGGCTTGACAAGTTTGCAGAACGAGGGAGACCGTGCATTTTTGTTGGTTATCCTGCATCTCAGAAAGGTTACCGTGTCTATGATCCTCAATCCCGCAAAGTTTTCACCTCACGGGACGTCCATTTTGTTGAGGATGTGTTTCCGTTCAAAGAAGCTCCGCAGGATGGGTCTTATGCCCCTCACATTGCCGTGCCTGTTGCTGATCATGAAGTTCCAGACGAGAGTCCATTTACATTGCCCTTGAACGAGACCTCTTCTCCTTTGAAGGGACGTTGCATGGCCCTAGTTCTCCCATGCATGTGGGCAGGACCCTTGTAATGCTTCGCCTCCCCCTGGCTTGCAAACCACTCCATCATCAGGCAATCATCATGCTGCCGACGCAGATCCTGTGGAAGGAACACCTGCCGATGCACCGCCACTTCCCCGGCGTGGGTTGCGCGTTCATCGACGCCCTGCACATCTCGACATTTATGATGTTGAGCTCCCAGGTCATGCTTCTCATTCCGTTGAATACCCTATTTCCAATCATGTTACGTATCATCGCTTTACTCCTTCTCATTGTGCTTATTTGGCAGCGATTATCCGGATCTTGGAGCCTCGCCATTTCTCCCAGGCAATTAAGCATCAGCACTGGCGCGAGGCAATGGAGAAAGAGATCCGCGCTTTGCTCGAGAATGGGACATGGACTTTGGAGCATTTGCCTCCCGGAAAGCGCTTGATCGATTGTAAGTGGGTCTTCAAGGTCAAGTATCGCCCAGACGGTTCCATCGAACGTTTCAAGGCGCGCTTGGTAGCAAAAGGATTTACTCAACAGGAAGGGGTTGACTTCCATGACACCTTTGCTCCCGTGGCAATACTCGTCACTGTTCGCACTCTGATTGCCGTTGCTGCTCAACGTGGTTGGCCCCTCTATCAGTTGGATGTGAACAACGCGTTCTTACATGGTGATCTTGACGAGGAAGTCTACATGCGAGTCCCTCAAGGGTTCGCTCAAGAGGGTGATCATCGTGTTTGCCGGTTGCGGAAATCTTTGTATGGGCTTCGTTAGGCATCCCGAAACTGGTACACAAAGTTCACCCAGGCACTTGCCAAACTTGGCTTCCACACTTCTCGTGCAGACCCTTCCTTGCTCATTCGCCACACGTCGGGCTCCTTTGTAGCAGTCCTCATCTATGTGGACGACGTGGTGATCATAGGGACCGATCCGGCTTTTATAGCCCGTGTCAAACAATACCTTGATGATCGTTTTA